CACACACACACACACACGCACGCACACACACACACACACGCACACACACACACACACACACACACACACACATACCCTGGACCAGCATCCTGAATGAATCGCTCGATCGGCAGCAGTCGTGCGGCGCAGCAATCCGCAGTTCACAACACGATGGAAAATAGCGGAACCCAAACTCGCACAAAACGCGGCTCCAACCAACCACTGCAACGACTGCACTTGACTACAGCTCAAAGTTCAGCAGCCCGTCCACACACACACACACACACACACACACACACACACACACACACACACACACACACACACACACACACACACACCCTTGCTGTACACCAGTAGAGGATCGCCATGGGAGGAGAAGAGGAGCACGGATATGCCCGCATTCGGCTCACGCCATTTGAGAACCTGAGCTGTTCGCTCGTCGCATCCTGCGTCGCAGGTCAGCCAATCATGTTTTGTGTGTGTGCGTGTGTGCGTGTGTGTGCGTGTATGTGTGTGTGTGTGTGCGTGTGCGTGTGCGTGCGTGTGTGTGTGTGTTTGCGTGGCTCCTGGATTGGCGTCCACCTGTCACATAGCCTCCTGTCATATGAGCGTGGACAGTGCACAACAAGTGGAGCGATCGCATGCATGTGTGTTCATATGTGTGTGTATTTTGTGTAATGCGATGGTACATTGACGCTGCCTTCGCCACATCTTGATGCTTGCCTGATTCGTGATGCACAGAGACTGTCACATATCCCGCGGAAGTGGCAAAGGTTCGACTGCAGATCCAAGGCGAGCGTCCGCCCGGCCCCGGCGAACGTAAGCCTGTGTGTGCGTGCGCATGTGTGCGTGCGCCTGTGCGTTTGTGCATAAGCCACAACGTACTTCCATGCACGCGTGCTCATGTGTGCATACATGCACGAAGCCACAACCGTAATTCAACACCGTTGAGACCCCATTTCATGCTCAAGATTTGTGACATCAATGATCTTGTTCATCTCACAACGTGGTTACCTCACTGTCTGGTGGACTGCCTGACTTACACTCAACTACGCTCCCCTCTTCCTCACGCACACACACACACATGCACAACAACAACACTGCCACCACTGCGATCAACCCTTTCCTCCACCCTTCTCCATGTGTGTATATGTACAGTGACGTTCCGAGGTCCATTGGACGCCATCTGGAAGGTTGGCCGTTACGAACACCCCAAGTACCTGTTCGCGGGCCTGCCATCTGGGGTGCTGCGCCACGCCATTGCCGGCACACTTCGCCTTGGGCTGTACGAGCCAACGGTGAACCTGCTCAACTACGGCACCACCACGGCGCCAGATGACCCGCGCGAGCGCAAGGACGTGACGCTCGCACAGCGCATGCTCGCGTCCTCCACCACGGGCGCGTTTGCCATGGTGTTTGCCAACCCGGCCGAGCTTGTCAAGACAAAGCTGCAATCGTCACACAAGCTCCCACCTGGGCAGAAGGCGCCTTTCTCGGGCACCATATCCTGCTTCCGGTACGTGATCCGCACGGAAGGGTACATGGGCCTGATGCGTGGCCTGTCCATCGCCGTGCCGCGGATGGCGTGGCAGAACATGGCGGAGATCACGGCGTACGACCTGACCAAGGACCTCCTCCGCAAGCACTACGGCATGGAGGACGGCCTCCCGCTCTTCTTCCTCGGCTCGCTCAGCGCCGGCTTCTTTGGCGCCTACCTCGGCAACCCGCTCGACTGCATCAAAACGCGCATCTACAACAACCCGCTTGGCGCGGATGGTCGGCCACTCTACAAGGGACCCGTGGACGTGGCGTTTAAGATGATCAAGCATGAGGGCATCTTCAGCTTCTGGAAGGGTGTTGTGCCCCTTTGGATCCACGTGTCTGCGTTTAGCATCGCCGTGTTTGTCACCTATGACATGCTGCGCTTGCAGTTGCGCAAGCTCAAGGCTCGCTCAAATGAGTAGGCTGTTTTGGGCGCGTGCTGTTTGTGTTGTGTGTGTGTGTGCGTGTGTGTGTTGGTTTGTTTATTTGTTTGTGCGTGCGTGTGTTGGTGTGCGCGCTCTGTGTACGTGCGTGAATGTGTTTCGCGGGCAAGCGCATGCACTATTGATTTGGCAGTCAGCCAGGCAAGCAAGCCAGCATATTAAGTTGTGTTCATCCCCCTCCCCTCCCCCCCCCCCTTTTATCACAGTCACGCAAGTGTGTTATCATGTCATTGTGCTTCCGAAGGCCACCGTTGCGTAGTTTTTGCTGTTCTCCTAACCCCTGCTTCAAATATGTGCACATGCACACAAGCAACATATCATCTATAATTGCCTTTCTGGCGTGTGTTCAGAAGTGCTGTGATGACACGTGACCGGTGGTTCTTGATGTGTGTCCAAGCGAGCTGCGTGCTGACGTGCCGACGTGCTGAACGTATTGATGCGGAAATGCGTTGGTATCGGTCTCATGTGCCATGTAAAGTAATTGTCATCCAGCCACAACCAAGGAGCCACAGGCAAGCATAATGAAACACCAGAGGGACATTGGGGGGGGGGGAGAAGCACGCACGCGCACGTGAGTGTGTGCGTGTGCTGGTGAAGCTGACATGGCATCAACTCTACAGTGCGCCCAAGAGTGCAACGGAATCAGCTTTGCGAATGTCCCTGCAATCCGGCACAAGATGCATGTGCATGGGTGCATGTGTGTGAGTGTGTGTGTGTGTGTGTGTGTGTGTGTGTGTGTGTGTGTGTGTGTGTGTGTGTGTGTG